AAAAAAAAATAGTCGATTTTTTTACCCACCCTATTAGGTACACTGTTTATTTTATTTTTTTCATTCAACATTTTTCAATTAATTTTGTTAAATTACTGTTATAAACGACAGAATTGTTAATAAAAATTTTTATTAATATGCAGTATGCTGCAACACATTACTCTTTTGAAATAACAAGTTATAAAAAAATAGTGTACACCTTAATATACAGGGTGTCCCTGAAAAGGATGGACAACGCTTGACCACAGGTTCCTTGGATGAAAACAAGACCATTTAGCCTAGCTTACTTATATATAAAAATGCACGCCTACTGAGATATAGCCTTCTAAATATAGAACAGATAATCTAGTTTTTCTCAAATAATTTGAAAACTGTTTTTTTATTAGAAACTTCAAATTTGATGATAATACATATACAGGATGTTCTCTTTCTAGTGCCTGTGCGCCACTGGCTATCCCGTAATTTTTTTGTGTGTACGTCAATGACGACGGAATTTGTATTTTTAAAAATAAGCACTATTTTAGAAGATTTTTTGCTAATGCGGAGAGACGCCTTCGGGAAACAGGACGTTTTTTACCTGTAACATTAAATCGTGGATAATGTACGGCCGGAATTATTCAGCTGTTTCAGTAAATACAGAAAACGGGAAAGAATACAACATGAAATTAGTGTTATGAGAGGTAATGCACAATTATTGGATAAAATTCATTTTCATTTTCGAAGAACTAATGCTTGTGTTTAAGAACAAGGAAGTAACTTTGTGCATTTACTGTAATATTATTTTAATGTGATTACAAATATCAATTTAGGTTTATTTAAAATGTTAATGTTGACTTTCTTACATTATTAATAATTGATACTATTTATTTAAAATATTAGTGTTGATTTTTATTTTATTGATTGATAATACTAATACTAAAAATGTGTAGTTATTATTTTATTAATGTGACGTTTTCATTATTATTCCCTGTTTTGAGGCTGCAGTTATAAATTATTTTTTACAAATCGGAATTTTTGCCTATATTTAATGTATAAAAAATGCCAGTTTTACGCGAAATCCATAAACGATATCAAAATTTTGTAAGAGCAAAAAATCTTCTAAATGAATGCTTATTTTTAAAAATTTAAATTCTGTCGTCATTGGCGCATACACAAAATAGTTACGGGATAGCCAGTGGCGCACAGGCACTAGGAATAGAACATCCTGTATTTGTATTCTCTCCAAATTCTATATTTACCTTGCCCTTACATAAAAAAATAAGTATCAAAATTGAAGTTTCGAAGAAAAATAGTTTTCAAATTATTTGGAAAAAACTAGATTATCTGTTCTATATTTAGAAGGCTATATTTCAGTAGCACTTTTGTATATAGGTAAGTTAGGCAAAATAGTCTTATTTTCATTCAAGGAACCTGTGGTCAAGCGTTGTCCATTCTTTTCAGGGACACCCCATATATTAAGGTATACACTATTTTTTTATAATTTGTTATTTTTTTATTAACAATTCTGTCGTTTATAACAGTAACTTAACAAAATTAATTGAAAAACACAAGTTGAATGTAATCCATTTCTAATGACTAATAAGTTGTGAATAGAAACATTTATTTAAATGTCCCTCNATACAGGATGTTCTCTTTCTAGTGCCTGTGCGCCACTGGCTATCCCGTAATTTTTTTGTGTGTACGTCAATGACGACGGAATTTGTATTTTTAAAAATAAGCACTATTTTAGAAGATTTTTTGCCTCTTGCAAAATTTTGATATCGTTTATGGATTTCGAGTAAAATTGGCATTTTTTACACATTAAATAATATAAAATTAGTTTAAGATAAATAGAACATTCTAGTACGAGGTGCCATATAACAAAGAAACAAATTCATAACAATAATTAAGAGGTTCAGTATCAAGTTAGCTGTGATTTAATTTTAGTTTACTTTGTTTTTTATTGCAATTTGTACTTTTGCTGAACAAACTGATATGTTATTAGTAGTTTTGGGTTATTGTGAAGGAAATTGTTGTGCTACTGTTCGAACATATGCTGAGTTTTCCTAATCGAAGAACTCCAAATCACAAAACATTTGCTAATGCGGAGAGACGCCTTCGGGAAACAGGACGTTTTTTACCTGTAACATTAAATCGTGGATAATGTACGGCCGGAATTATTCAGCTGGAGGAACAAATTTNGAGGGACGAACTGATGTTCCTCATTCAGAAGCAGAGAGATGAACGGAAAAAATTGGAAGTGGAAATGGAGAGACTCACGTACAAGTTGTGTCTCGTAGGTTACTTATTACCGTAGTATACTAAACTTGTTGGTAGCAAACAAGTAATTTCAAATATTTCGCTCCCCGTCCCTATGAACAGTAGGTCCTTAACTTTATCAATCAAATGTCTGGTAAATTGCAGATCAACAAAAGTATGGCCCAGCGCATGAAAGCAAAACAGAATTACGATGCGACTATCGAGGAAATTGAAGAGAAGTACAAAAGGTTGAAAGAGAACTCAGGCGATCTGATGACCATGGTGGCAAAGGACTGCAACCAACTAGATTCCCTGATCAATAAGAAAACTAGTACCGAAGACACGGTCGCCAGTCCGGTAGACGAAGATGCACAGACAGAAACGTCAGAGAAACCATCAGAGAGACTATCGGAGAAACCTTCGGAGAAACCTTCGGAGAAATCATCGGAGAGGGTCAGCTCAACGAGCAGTGCCAAGACCAGTCAAGAGGTAAATACTATCTTTTCAATACACAAAATTTATAGATAAAAATTAATAATCAGAAAAATTTCCCAGAGACATCGTATCTTGGAAGAATTATTATTATTTAATCTAAACTTATTTCAGGAATGTGTTTGCCTGCCTAATAAAGACGGCAGGTGTATCAGAGAAAAGATGGCGTCTAAGATGATTCAAGCGTCTTCTGTCCAATCCGAAGTGCCCACAAAGCTGGAAAAGGAAGCGAGCGAAGAGAAGAACCAACAGAAGGAGTCTGATTCGAAACAGAATGAAGAAAGATCCGCCCAGACTTTTGTCACTGGGGAGCCCGAAATTGACAGCGATGAGGATGAAGAGATTGCTTTTGAGAAAAAAAAGTCAAGACTCAGCCACGCGGCCAATCAATATAAAGAAACGAGCCTTCGTAGATCTCAATAAGGAATATTGTGGCGTGTGTCTTGTGTTTTTGTATGCATTATCAAAGGAAATTGAAGGGTACTCCATGTGTCGGTAATTCCATCTAATGTAATGTGTCTCATGAAACATCTAATTCTTTTTTATTAAAGAAACAAAAATGCAAGTGTTATAATAAAATTTCCAAACATGAATATAATAATAATAAAACGGCAGATTTCCTTTGTATTTAAAGAGAATGAAAATAAATATTTTGTAGGTTATGTCGTCAAATAATTACGGTACGGACAAAATGGCGGTTGGCAGTAAAATCAGAATTTTAAAACAAATTAAAATTTGCAGAAAACGATTAAAAACAGGATTTATCAAAATAGCTACGTACCTCTAACCATTTCTGCAGTTATTCACATCCATATATTGTACAGGAGACAAGATCTAGGCGCAAATTTCCGGGTATTCTCCGTAACAGAATAACAAAATTAAAAGGCAACACTATTAAGACACCAACTTTTATCACCCTAAACAAATTTTTGAACCCTTCCTTGTTACATTTTCTTACATAAACAAAAAAATTACGAATTTAAACAGCTTTTTGCTAAACTGGAAAATGCCAAACGACGCCTCTCCCGCAAGCTATAATTGTCATGTGGCTGTCATTCGTTTGTCTTTTTTATATTTTGCGATTTGACAGGTATGTGGTTCACATAAGCTGCTTTCCAATTGCCAGGGAACAGCTCCTGAAATGTTCTTCTCCTGTTCTACAATTGGCACACCGAGAGAAACACGTAAATATTTAAATAATTTTCAAGTACTGTACTGTATTTTCAGTTTTTAATAATCAGTTCAATTGATATATGTTTTATACGTATGTCCTGTAAGTGGAAGTTTCTTTGCTGGACAAATAAATTAAATTAATTATTATTTTTATTATTATTATTGTTAAGATCATAATTAAAATATGGTGCGTGAGGGGGGTACTGGAAAACAAATAGGCACACTTTAATACTGGAACGCAAAAAGTTAATCTGGTGTTCCTGAGAAGCGCTTCCGAAGTATGTATGTATCTCTTGTCAATTGGAAAGCAGCTACAATTATACTGATTGGTTTACTTTTTATTTAAATTGGCCCATCAGAACCATATTCGCAAATTCACGACTACCTATATGAACCCACATACTAGAAGTACGTGTATGAAATATGAACCACGCATTAATAAATAATGAAAATAAAACTAATCGAAACTTAGTGCATATACTAGTGGAGGTAGCGCTCCCAGCGTCCAATGGCCGAGTAGTGATGAGAGATTTCGAGTGAAAAATCGAGTGGTACTCGATTATTGAGATCACTCGAGATATCTCGAGATGTTTACTCCCAC